CCCTTCAGGCATCCCATGAGCTTATCCAGCAAGCCCAGCCAATCAAACCCCTTGAAGGCCTCTCACCGCCTAGTGATGGTTTTAAATGTCAAATTTGCTCAATTATACGGCTTAGTCAGCAGAATATTCGACGTCATATGGCCTCTGATCATGGCCTAAAGGGTTACCAGGTCCAGGATGCTCAGATAACCCCATGTAGGGTTCAAACCCTAGAAGCTACTAGATATATATTTCTAGTGAATGACTCAGCACCTCTTCCTGCCTTGCCTAATCGGGCTAGCCGGAAACGTGACCGCCTTGATTCCCTGACCTCTAGTGAACCCCCACGATCTCGATCCCGTGCCTACTCACGTTCTGCCTCGCCTGACCGCTTTACTAGTAGATCACATGACCTAAAAACACTTGGTCAAGCGCTAGTGAATAATTACATCACCCAGAAGGCCTCCATCCAATCAGATCAAATGATTCAAGCCCTAGGTCAAACATATGAGGCAAATAGCTTTCATGCTATATCCCAGTACCCCGCCTTCCTAAATGGGAAGGATTCTGCCGTCCTAAGGGGTCTTTTTACTATGCCTGACCACCTTACTGAGTTCCTTACCGCCCTGGTCATCCATGTGCTTCAAGCTGGCCAATCAAGGCTTTTAGAAACGTCTCATGCTAGTAAGCTGGCCCTAACAACGTTCCACACCGCCCACGTGACCATTAGACCTCTTCAACCACTTCAAAATATAGAAACTCTAAAGCGGTATGCACGTGTTATGACATCATTCTTAGTATTTCTATTGAATTCCTCTAGGGCTGGTGACCATGAAGTCCTAGGCCTATATCAGCTAGATCCTGACCATGCTGACCTTATCAATGACCTTCACCGCCTGCTTGATGACGTGCCTGAGCAGGGGCAGAAAGCCAATCCACCCCCTAGAGCTCCCACCGCCTTCTGGATTAACCCCTTAGAGTCATCTGATGATGAATCTAGTAATGATGAGGAACCTGATAACCCTGTTACCATGACAACCATATCTCACCGCTTTAAACCTGAGCTAGTTCAAAAGGGGGCTAGGTTGCTTACAAAGCTAGTCATCCAATTAGCTGAGCAACACACCATTCAACCACTAGAGACCCCATTGGCTGCCTTCCTTGCCTGTTTCTCACGTGACTACTTACGTAATTGCTTTAAATACGTTGGTCAGATATCCCAGGCATATTCTGCAGTCATCAGATGTCACCAATATATATTTCTAGATTGGTTCCACTTGAATATCTGGCAGAATAATGGCGGGGAGATGGTTGAACCAATCAGGGCCTGGATGACTAAGCACTTTAGTGCTACCTCAGAGTCACCAATTGGTCACGTGCTTACCCTCCGGAATATTGCCCTGTTCCTGATCAAGCATGACACTTCAATTGGTGAAGTCAACCTGGTAGCACCTCATGTGATCCAGTACCGCCAGATTAGGGTGTCACGTGACGCTCTAACCGCCTTCCTAGTTAGGTCAATTCGTGACCTAGGCGGTCAGCTATCTAATACCTTGTTTTTTGACTTCTTGAATTTCAAGAGGTTTGAAGCTTTAGGGTTAACCTTGGAAGAAGCCTCTAAGCATGAACTTACTAGTAATTATACTAATAATTCATGGTTTGGCGCTAACCCTAAGGGTCAGGAACTAGCCAAGTTCCTTATCCAGATAGCTACCCAGGAATGTCTGGCAGAATGGTTTACCCTAGCACCAGAAGGCAGTCGGCTTCTAATTAATAAGCAACGTGCCTTATTATATCTAGATGCCTCAGGCAGCTTTATTAGGGACCTTCTAGCCCTATGTCACATGACTTCTGGTGCACCAGCACGTGGCACTGAGATAAATCAGGTGATCTGGAGGAATACAACCACTACACAGCGAAACCTGTTTCTAGATCCCGTGACCAACCTATTCCTAATTAGGCTAGGCTATTCAAAAACCTTCTCACGAACGCTTCAAACACGTGATGCTACTAGGGTCTTGCCCTATTCCCTTTCCTATTTAGTTCTAGTATATTTACTAGTAATCCGACCTTTTGAAGAGTTTCTAGTCATGCAGCTAAGTCAGCAGGGAACCTTACCACGTGACGATTTCTTATTATTTTATAACATGAAATATAAGCGGATTATCTCGTCACGTGCCTTGTCACGTGCCCTACGCCGCCTTAGCATCCAAAGTCTTGAGCAACCAATTTCTATTGGTCCATGGCGTCATATTACACAGGCTTTCATTCGTCATGGGCTAAATGTGGACCCACTTGCCTATTTTGGTAATGATGAGGATGATGATGTCATAAGTCTAGAAGCCCTAGGGGCCATGCAGATGCATCATTCACGTGAGCGAGGTCAGTTGACCTATGGGCGCCAGGCGGTGACCTTCCAGGGGATGTCACCTGACCAACAGGCTTCTATGGTCATGTTTAGTCAGCGGTGGCATGACTATTTAGGGTTAGGGCGTGATCAGCTGACACTAGGTGCCTTATTTTACCCAAGGGATGCCTTACGTCACCAAGCAACCTCTAGAGAGGTTACCCTAACTAGGGTTCAGAGGCCTCTGGCAGAACCTCTAGTTCAATGTCACGTGCCCAGGCGATCAGGTGCCTCACCGCCTTCCTCTCCTGTTTCAATTGGTCAGTTTCTAGAGTTTATTTCATTATATGGGACCAATTTTCAACCTGCTTTGGCTCAGCCAATTGAAACCAACCTTTTAGAGACCGCCGTGCAAATCCAGCAGAATCCTACCGCTTTGGGTGCCTCAGGCATGCAGCTTGACCCTAGTATTCTAGATCACGTGCTTCAGGACTTCCTCCAGGATGCCTCTGCTACATTTCGATCCCCTGAGCAACGTGAGGCATTTAGGGTTATGATGACTAAACCACCTTACCTACATGTGATCCTTCCAACTGCAGGTGGTAAAACTACGCTATTCCTGATTGGGGCTAGCCTGGCTACTAGTAAAACCACGATTATTATATCCCCCCTGGTTGCTTTGAAAATTGACCTGTTTCAGAAGGCCACTGCCTCTGGATTACAGCCAATTATATGGGACGAGTCACATGATACGCCTAGTTGTCGCGTTAGGGTTCTACTGGTTCAAATTGAGCACGTGACCAACCCTAAATTCATTGGAATGCTAAATGAGCTGGTTTCTACAGGTCATGTGGATCGTATGGTCTGGGATGAATGTCACATGATCCCGCTGACTAAGGACTATAGGACCAATATGTATAGGGTTTACCAAGCCCTAATTGCCTCAGTTCCCATGGTTTTTAGTACAGCAACGTTCCCAGGCCGCCTGCAGGCAGAATTTGAGGATAATATGGCGCTAGGCTTAATCCGGCCAATTCCCATGGTTCGTGCAGCCCTAAACCCCTCAAATATAGCCTATCACGTGATCTCATTACCTAATACAGGGTTAGGGGATGAGCTGAAGCCTCTGCAGGAGTTCCTAGTTCAGGTAGACAGTCAGGTGACTTCTCCTAGTGGTATGAAGCCTCACGTGATCATTTTCATGAGATCTAGGGCTAAGATTGATGAGATGATTACTAAGCTTCAGGGCTTAGGGCTAGGGGACCAATTTGCTCATTTTCATGCTAAGGTCCCAGAGGTTGAAAAACAGGCAGAACTTGACCGCTTTCTAGGTGGTAAAGCACGTATTCTGCTTGCTACTACTGCCCTTGGTGCTGGATTCGATTTTAGTCACGTGGATGTGGTTATTCATTGGCGTGGGTCCTATTCCTTCTGTGACTTCATGCAGGAATCAGGCAGAACTGGGCGGTCTACAGGGCGGCCTGGCTGGTCATTCTGTGCAGTTACTGACTATGACCGTCAACCACGTGACTCTAATTCAGTGGAGGAGGTAGAGTTCAAAAAATACCTCAATGAGCGCATTTGCCGGCGAGCTGCTATTTCAAGGTATTTTAATGGGTTTGACCAGTCATGTGAGCCTGGAATGACGTCATGTGACCTCTGTACAATGAAACAGAACCAGGCTAGCCGTGTTCAGCAGGCGGTGAGGCAGAGGCAGCAGGAATCTGCCCGTCAAATTGAGTGGTTTGCTGAGGCAGTCAGATTCTGGCAGGAGAGGGGATGCCTGAGGTGTTTTTACCACTATTGGATTAGTAAGCATTTCCTATTCTAGTAATATGTTTGTTTATATGTTTATTTACTAATTTTGGTTTAGTGTATTCATTGAAACCAGACATTGATAAGGATCCTTCACCTGACCAATTTATTGGTCATGGGACTGAAGCTTGCCCTAATCCTAAGCTAGATCGCTATGTGAAACAGCTTAGTAAGCTGCGGAAGCATCTAGAACCTAGGGCTGAAACATGTTGTTTCACATGCTTCCTTCCTACAAAGGTCTGCAAGGGTCCTCTAGCTGGTGACACGTGCTTTGCTCCTAGTTTAGTAGGCTTTAATTGGTCACTAAGCAAGGAGTTTAGGCAGCAGAAATGGGCGGTGAGTAGTGAATACTATCCACTAGATATTCTGCCAGCAGAAATGTCACATGAGTCCTTTACTAGGTGGAAGTGGGATACAGGGTTGGAGACTGAGCTAATTAGGGCTGCAGAGTTACTCTGGTTGCTTAGTAAGCACCTTAGTAATTCTAGGGATATAAGGATTAGTAAGCTATTTAGCTTTACTATCTAGTTTGTCTACTTTGTCTGTCTATCTCGTTTGTCTATTTATCTGGTTTATCTACTTTGTTTAGTTTGTTTAGTTTGTCTTAATATTATATATTTAATTTAATTATATTTATCTTTACTAGGAATTAAACCTAAGACCTTCTAATTCTAGCTTGGATAATAATAACTAGGCCACTAACTCTATTATTACTAGGTTAATCTTTATGTATATATAAAACAGGTTTATATTCAGTTTATACCTAAATACTAAGGTATCTAACTTTGATATATATATTTAAAGCAACCCTATATAAAGTTACTACCTAAATACTAAGGCATCTACCCTAATATATATATAGCCTATATATAAATATATATATGTACTAGAACCTTCTACTAAGATATATATTTCTACCCCCTACTCATACATATAAAGGTATAATTAACTTTAAGGGTTAATATCTCCCTTAATATTAGTGCTATAAATATGAATCCTAGTTCTAAATACTAGTAATTATATAGAGAATCTATATATAAACTAAAAATATTAGTCATCTATATTAATATTAGTGGTGGTTCCCCTACCTCTGGCAACCTACCTTTGAAAACGCCTAAGGTAAATTAATACCTGAAAATTCAGGCATCCATCAAGCCTCAGGCATCTACCAGGCATATATATAGC